ATGAGTATACTGATTTAACTGTACTATTCCATTATTTACTTATTTTTTTGTGATACGTTTAAGTACTTCTATGATATTAGTATTTTTTTTTTAATTTTAGATTTATTTTCTTCTATCGCATCAGTTTCTTCTATCGCACTTTTTTATCTCAGATTTATTTTTCAGCTATCTTATCAACTAACAATTTGATGTTTTGATGATAGCATTTATACTCTGTCCGATTTTCGTTTCGATTATTAATTGATTAGTTTACAACGTTCTACTTTTCTCTTCCAATTGATCTTTCAACGTTCTAATATCCTCTTCCAATCGATCTTTCAACGTTTCAATGTTCTCTGCCATATATTTTCCGAACTGCTCTTTCCACTTTCTCACATTCTCATCCACATAATTTTTGTGTGCAACGTCACTTATAGCTTCCGGCCATGGTACATGTCGTACATTGATTCCTTTTGCTTCAAAAAACTTACGATCAGCAGTAAGACAAAGGGCATTATCGTGTATGTAGTGTTTACGCGCAATGTTGTTCATACTATCAGTCTCAAATTTTGCGAAACGCTCTTCCATATATTGTTTGGTTGCAACATCATTGTTGGTTTCCGCTTGCGCTACATTTTGTATCTTGCGATATTTTGCGTCAAAATCTTCGGCCTCGTTTAGACAAAGGGAATTTTCTTCATTACTTTGCTGCGTTCCATCAGAGGCATCATCTTCTTGCGATACTCCAAACTTATTCAGCGGCATTTTCGGTGCAGTGTCCACTGACTGACTGACTCGTGTCAATGCCGGGCTGTTTAATTTATAATCAAACCCTTTTCGCGAAGTTCTTCGATAATCGATAAAATTTCGTTGTCATGCGCGTCATTGCCAGCCTGACTAGAGGCTTCGAGCAATCGCAGACGATCTACCAGTAGTTCATTGGGATCGTCCCAGTGAACATATTCGATTTTATTTCTAGTTAGCGTCAGGGTGCTCGATCCCTTGTTCGGATTTTCCATGTTTCTTTGTGGACACCAAAGGTTTGATTACATGTTTGTACTTGTATCCTCTGTTAGCCAACAGTGGATTGGTTGCGATGTGGTATCGTTTGTGCTCATCTGTTGCTGCCAATATAGACTTATACTTTTGCAGATCATCTTCAGTGTACAAAGTATCGTCTGGAAGTCGTCGGAAAATCAATTCGTAAAGACCGGGGGTGCCCGAGTATCTTACAACGTTTATAATTATATTATCATCTATATCCACATCGCAACGTTTGTCGCCAAGCATCGTTCCTTCGTTGCTTAAATAAACACCTTAAACGGTGTTTACATGTCTCTTTCTCTCACCACTCAAACTATCCACAATATACTTTTGGCCTGGTGGATCCAATTGACTTTGTAATGATAGTCGACCTTCCGATGTTTGCAATTCATGTTGCACAGATTTCTCGAGAGACTCGTTTACGGTCTCATAAACGTCCTCATCAGCAAGCGTGTTCACGACTTCAACACGTTGTTGCGTTAGTGGTGTCGGTAACGTATCCGATGAAATCCTTCTTCTTCGTTTTTCTCGTGGTTGATCCAAATAATATCGTCCTCTAGTCTTCTTCTTTTCCGTTCATTCTTTCCCTTGTCAGCATGTGTATTCACGACTTCAACACGCTGTTGCTCGCGCGGTGTCGGTAACATATCCGGTAAAATCCTTGTTTGTTTCTCACTGTTGATCCGAAATATCGTCCATTAGGCTTTTTCGCGCTTTAAAATTGGCAGTATTTGCAACCATTGTCTATAGAGGCTCGATAATAGGTTTGTAACGTTTTTCCATTTCCAGGTCTTCCTCCATTCTACTGGTTTTCAGAGAGTGATATTTCTTACGAATCAAGTCGCTCATTTTTGCGATCTCTTTCGCTACTTTTTCACGATCCTCAGTTTCTTTCCCGCTGTCGATTGTCGTCATATTGTTGTTTTGGAAAAAAAAACATTGGAGGCGTTTTGGGAAAACGTCGGAAGCGTTTCACCGTTGACTNGGAAAAACGTCGGAAGCGTTTCACCGTTGACGTTTCGGCAACGACTATTCTCTCACGGTATCATGTATTCGTTGAATCCGTTTCGATATCGTCCATTAGTGAGCGAGCTATCCTTGTCTATTACCACGAACCCGTACTTGCGCTGCCAACACTTGTGACACAATGTACAGAAATCATCGTACCACGTGTCAGTGTTAACGTGATCGTTGTATACATGTTTTAAATTGGTGCCATCTTGTTTAAACAAGATCAGCAGGTTCGCATTGTCGCGTATAAGATGCTTAGTTATTCTCGCGTATGTCTGACAGAGATAGAAACAGTCGACGTTTGAATGTCGTCCCATTGAAAAGTATTCTCTTATCGTATCTTGCTTACCCAATGCCACGTTATCGAATACAAAGATTGAATTCGCGTGCGCCTCATTTGCTGGAATAACGTCGGAATTATTGGAGAATATAAAATAACCAATTTCATCTATCGACGTCAAGAGATTTTCCAAATACTGATATTTGGGCTACATCAACGACTTCAAATATAAGTACACGTTTTCAAAACGCAGACTATGCGGGCTCTCCAACAAGCTTATGAGAACGTTCATCTTACTACAATTCGAAGGACCGCATATGATTGCGCGTATAATATTCGGTAACACGTCTCCATGTTTAGGTATCTCTTTGTTTTCTCCCATTAATCGCGTTCTATCGTCAAAATTTTCCACGCGTATCACTGTCTGCTGCTTCACGAATCGCGTGTTATCTTTTGACAAAATTGTTGGCATGAAAAATGCTGCGTTGGATACGATCAACGCTCATTCGGCAGATGGATACTTCAACTTTTGCGTACCGCTCAGCATGTTGCTAGGATTTTGTGAAGACTATAGGCATATAGTGTTTAATGCACATCACGAATTGATTCTCATACGATCGCGAAATGACAACAACTGTCTACATGGATCATTGGCGTTGGAGCCTAAGGTGGAGCTATTCAAGATACAGTGGAGAATGCCTCACGTACTCTCAAACGATTTCAATAAACTCACTTTGTTGAGAACCTTGCAGAACGACCGATACCTGAGCATGAGTTTTTGCTTGTGGGATCTGTATGAATTTCCTCTGCTACATAACACGACCAAACACGTGTGGCCTGTCAAAACTGCCACTAATTTAGAAAAACCGCGATATGTTATTTTTGCACTACAGACTGGTCGAAAGAATGTCATGGCGGAAAATATAACTCAATTCGACAACAGCAATTTGATCAACGCAAAACTCCATCTAAATTCAGAGTGCTATCCGTACGATGATATGAATTTGGACTTTGCAAAGAGAAGATATGCAATACTTTACGATATGTATAAACGTTTTCGTACATCATACTATGGATACAACAGTGCTGATGTATGGTTAACAACTCATGATTTTCTGCGGCAAGGTTCTTTCGTAGTTTTCGATTGTTTGCCTCAAAATGAATCAATCAAGAGTGCACTGTGGATGTGCGAATAGAATTTGAATGTAAAGAGAACATACCGGTGAATACTACCGCGTACTGTCTCATCCTACATGATCGCGTAGTTGAATACA